CCCCCCCCCCCCCCCTCCCTCCCTCCTTGTCGCCCTTGAGTTGGGGCCCTCACTTCTTGCCCACCTTGCCCATCCGGATGGCGGCGGGCGTCACCTCGACAAACTCGGAGTCCTATCCGCGACGAGAGCCGCGCGTGAGTCGTCGAGCTCTTGCGGGCGCCGCAGCGGCGAGCTCCGGGGGCCTCGAGGTGCTCGACCGCCTCCTCAGGAAAGTGTCTAGGAAGTGTCTAGGAAGTGTCTAAGGAGGGTCTAGGAAGCACCTCGATGTACTCGACCGCCTCCTCGAGCGTGATCGGCGTCGGCGGCGAGAGGTTCGTCTTCTCGTCGGCGCCTAGGGGAAGTGTCTAGGAAGTGTCTAGGAAGTGTCTAGGAAGTGTCTAGGAAGTGTCTAGGAAGTGTCAGAGGTTCGTCTTCTCGTCGGCGCCTAGGGGTCCAGGAGAGGTCCAGGAGAGGGGCAGGAAAGGGCGAGAGGCTCTCGTCGTCTCTTCGCGCGCCGGCGGAGCGCATGTTCGTCAGCTGCTTCTGGCGGCAGACGTTGACCTTGAGGTCGCCGGCGCGCTGGTGGATGCCGACGATCTGGTTCTCGTACACCTGGTCGCGAGATGTGGGGAGATTTGGGGAGATGCGAGGAGATACGGGGAGATGCGGGGAGATGCGGGGAGATCTGGTTCTCAAACACCTCGTCGCCCGGCGCAGCGAAGAGCGAGCCCCGCTCCTGCGCATTCTTCAGGCCGTGCCCCGTCGCCGTCCCCTTCTCGTGCGAGAGCAAGTTGCCGCGATCGCGCCTAGGGAATGTCCAGGGAGAGGTCCGGGAAGTGTCCAGGAAGTGTCCAGAGTGCCAGTTGCCGCGGTCGCGCTTGTCAAAGTCGCCCGCCCACGGCTTGTACCCCGCGAAGGTGGTAGTCATGACCGCCAGCCCGCGCGTCGCCTACTCTCGGGCAATCTCGGGTCATCTCGGGCCATCTCGGGGCAGAGCTTGGCGCCAGCCGGCGCGTCGCCGACATGAGCTTGGTCTTGACCCCCGCCATGGCGCGCGACGGGACCTAATCAGCAGCTCGCAACCACTCACCATTGGTACGTAGGTAGCCCGTCTTTGCCGTGGCTCGCGGCGGGGCCTCGTACTGCAGCGACACGATGCCCTCTGGAGAGACGGACCTGGTCACACACACATGGTCAGCGATGAACACTTCTCGTTCACGCCTTCTCACTCACGGCAAGGCGGGCCACTCTCGAGCATGTCTAGGAAGTGTCTGGGAAGTGTCTGGGAAGGGTCTCGGAAGGGTCTAGGAGCGGTACCCCATCTCGAGCATGTCTAGGAAGTGTCTGGGAGTGGTCGGGGAAGGGTCTCGGAAGGGTCTAGGAGCGGTACCCCATCTCGAGCATGTCTAGGAAGTGTCTGGGAGTGGTCTGGGAAGGGTCTCGGAAGGGTCTAGGAGCGGTACCCCATCTCGAGCATGTTGCCGTTCCGCTCGCCCAGCATCGAGATGACGGAGCCAGAGTACTCCTCCGGGAGCTCGACGTCGACCAGCTCAAACGGCTCGCACCTGTTGCCGCATTCGAAGGGGTGATCCTTCTCCGGAAGGAGCCACCAAGCACCCCGGCTCGAACGGCTCGCGCCTCGCCCCCTCGATCTCCTGCTCTATCACCTTTGGGCAGCCAATCATCAGCTCGAAGCCCTCGCGCCTAGGGTTAGGGTTAGGGTCAGGGTCAGGGTTAGGGTCAGCCAATCATCAGCTCGAAGCCCTCGCGCCTAGGGTTAGGGTTAGGGTCAGGGTTAGGGTTAGGGTCAGCCAATCATCAGCTCGAAGCCCTCGCGCCTAGGGTTAGGGTTAGGGTCAGGGTCAGGGTTAGGGTTAGCCAATCATCAGCTCGAAGCCCTCGCGCCTAGGGTTAGGGTTAGGGTCAGGGTCAGGGTTAGGGTCAGCCAATCATCAGCTCGAAGCCCTCGCGCCGCATCGTCTCGATCAGCACCGTCAGGTGGAGCAGCCCCCGCCCGTACACCTAGACACTTCCTAGACACTTCCTAGACACTTCCTAGACACTTCCTAGCACCGTCAGGTGGAGCAGCCCCCGCCCGTACACCTGTAGGAAGTGTCTCGGAAGTGTCTAGGAAGTGTCAGGTGGAGCAGCCCCCGCCCGTACACCTGTAGGAAGTGTCTCGGAAGTGTCTCGGAAGTGTCAGGTGGAGCAGCCCCCGCCCGTACACCTGTAGGAAGTGTCTCGGAAGTGTCTAGGAAGTGTCAGGTGGAGCAGCCCCCGCCCGTACACCTGTAGGAAGTGTCTCGGAAGTGTCTAGGAAGTGTCAGGTGGAGCAGCCCCCGCCCGTACACCTGTAGGAAGTGTCTCGGAAGTGTCTAGGAAGTGTCAGGTGGAGCAGCCCCCGCCCGTACACCTGTAGGAAGTGTCTCGGAAGTGTCTAGGAAGTGTCAGGTGGAGCAGCCCCCGCCCGTACACCTGTAGGAAGTGTCTCGGAAGTGTCTAGGAAGTGTCAGGTGGAGCAGCCCCCGCCCGTACACCTGTAGGAAGTGTCTCGGAAGTGTCTAGGAAGTGTCAGGTGGAGCAGCCCCCGCCCGTACACCTGTAGGAAGTGTCTCGGAAGTGTCTAGGAAGTGTCAGGTGGAGCAGCCCCCGCCCGTACACCTGTAGGAAGTGTCTCGGAAGTGTCTAGGAAGTGTCAGGTGGAGCAGCCCCCGCCCGTACACCTGTAGGAAGTGTCTCGGAAGTGTCTAGGAAGTGTCAGGTGGAGCAGCCCCCGCCCGTACACCTGTAGGAAGTGTCTCGGAAGTGTCTAGGAAGTGTCCGGTGGAGCAGCCCCCGCCCGTACACCTGTAGGAAGTGTCTCGGAAGTGTCTAGGAAGTGTCCGGTGGAGCAGCCCCCGCCCGTACACCTGTAGGAAGTGTCTCGGAAGTGTCTAGGAAGTGTCCGGTGGAGCAGCCCCCGCCCGTACACCTGTAGGAAGTGTCTCGGAAGTGTCTAGGAAGTGTCAGGTGGAGCAGCCCCCGCCCGTACACCTGTAGGAAGTGTCTCGGAAGTGTCTAGGAAGTGTCAGGTGGAGCAGCCCCCGCCCGTACACCTGTAGGAAGTGTCTCGGAAGTGTCTAGGAAGTGTCAGGTGGAGCAGCCCCCGCCCGTACACCTGCCCCGAGACTGCCCGAGATGACCCGAGATGACCCGAGATGACCCGAGATTACCCGAGACTGCCCGAGATGCAGCAGCCCCCCGCCCGTACACCCGCACTGCTGAGTGAAGTCGAGGAGCCGCGCGGCCCTTCGAGGGCGGCAGCGCGCTGGGAAGTGTCTGGGGGCTGTCTGGGAGCTGTCTAGGACGTGTCTAGGACGTGTCTACGAAGGGCCTGGAACGAGTCCGCGTCGCCGGTGTCTTTGAGCTGCAGCGCCACGTTCGTCTCGAGCTCCTTCTCCAGCCTGAGGGGCGATCTCGGGGCAATCTCGGGGCGATCTCGGGGCAATCTCGGGGCGATCTCGGGGCGATCTCGGGGCGATCTCGGGGCGATCTCGGGACGATCTCGGGGCGATCTCGGGGCGATCTCCGGGCAATCTCGTGGCGATCTCGGGTGGATCTCGGGGTAGTCTCGGGTGGATCTCGGGGGTAATCTCGGGGCGATCTCTCGCCTCTCGCGGATGGTTCGCGAGGTGAGCAGCTTGCCAGCCTTGCCGGCGAAGGGGGACTTGTTGACTCTTAATTAATTAATTAATTAATTAAGAGGTGAGCAGCTTGCCAGCCTTGCCGGCGAAGGGAGACTTGTTCACGCCGATCGAGATGGACATGGTCGGCTCCTCGACGGAGATTGGGTCGAGCGGGCGCGGGTCGGCAGGGTCGACGAGAGTGTCTCCGATGTTGAACTCGCTCAGACCCGAAAAGACGACGATGTCGCCGGCGGACGCCTCGTCGACCGCCTTGCGGCCCACCACGGTTGCTTAACTCATAGTTCGAGTGAGTTCGTTCGTTAATTAACTCATAGTCCGCCGCCTTGCGGCCCATCGCGTCGAAGACAAACAGCTCCGAGATCTTTGCGCTCTTGACAGGCTCGCCCGGGCCAGCGGAGAGGCCGAGCGGCTGGCCTACGGCCCGGTGCGGGTACAGGGCTAGGGCTAGGGCTAGGGCTAGTCGTAACAGCGGAGAGGCCGAGAGGGTGGCCCTTGGCGACGCGTCCCGCGCGGACGCGCCCAATGCCGAGCCGCCCGATGAATGGGTCGGATCCGATGTTCGAGATCTGGAGCTGCAGCGAGCCTACTTGGAGCGGCTCCCCCTCACCGCAGGGGCCCGGGGTCAGCGGCTGCGGATCTGCAGCTGCAGCGGGCCGGCGGTGTCGGCGGCGGGGGCGGGGAGGTCGAGGATCTTCTTGAGCAGAGGCTCCTGATTCATTCATAGCTCTTAATCAACTCATCAGGGGGCGGGGAGGTCGAGGATCTTTTTGAGCAGAGGCTCCTGACTCATTCAGAACTCTTAATCAACTCATCAGGGGGCGGGGAGGTCGATATTCTTGAGCAGAGGCGCCATGCTGTCCGAGACCTCGTCCGGCTCGTCCCCCGACTGCCGGTTGATTGCGGAGGTGTACACAATCGGGAAGTCTGTCTGCTCGTCGGAGGCGCCTAGGAAGTGTCTGGGGGGTGTCTAGGAAGCGTCTGGGAAGTCTGTCTGCTCGTCTGGCGCGCTGAGCTCGACGAAGAGGTCGAGGGTCTACTAGGAAGTGTCTAGGAAGTGTCTAGGAAGCGTCTGGGAAGTCTGTCTGCTCGTCTGGCGCGCTGAGCTCGACGAAGAGGTCGAGGGTCTACTAGGAAGTGTCTCGGAAGTGTCTAGGAAGCGTCTCGGAAGTGTCTAGGAAGCGTCTGGCGCGCCGAGCTCGACGAAGAGGTCGAATGTCTTGTCGATGACATAGTCTGGGCGGGCCGCGGGCTTGTCGATCTTGTTGACCACGACGAGGACGCGGTGCCCCATCTCGAGCGCCTAGTCATGAATAGTTGGCCAGTAGTTATTAATTAACAGGTGGTTGTTAATTAGTGCGGTGCCCCATCTCGAGCGCCTAGTCATGAATAGTTGGCTAGTAGTTATTAATTAACAGGTGGTTGTTAATTAGTGCGGTGGCCCATCTCGAGCGCCTAGTCATGAATAGTTGGCTAGTAGTTATTAATTAACAGGTGGTTGTTAATTAGTGCGGTGCATCTCGAGCGCCTTCTTGAGCACGAAGCTATATCTCCCCACATCTCAAGCGATCTCTCCCCATCTCGAGGCGCCTTCTTGAGCACGAACCGCGTCTGCGGCTTCGGACCCTCGGCCGCGTCGACGAGCAGCAGCACGCCGTCCACCTAGAGACTCGTCCACGACGTGTCCCGGACATGTCCTGCGGACGCAGTGACGAGGAGCCATACCCACCATGTTGAGCACGCGCTCGACCTCGCCGCCAAAGTCTAGGAAGTGTCTCGGAAGTGTCTAGGAAGTGTCACCATGTTGAGCACGCGCTCGACCTCGCCGCCAGAGTCTAGGAAGTGTCTAGCAAGTGTCTAGGAAGTGTCACCATGTTGAGCACGCGCTCGACCCCGCCGCCAGAGTCTAGGAAGTGTCTAGAAAGTGTCTAGGAAGTGTCACCATGTTGAGCACGCGCTCGACCTCGCCGCCAGAGTCTAGGAAGTGTCTAGCAAGTGTCTAGGAAGTGTCACCATGTTGAGCACGCGCTCGACCCCGCCGCCAGAGTCTAGGAAGTGTCTAGCAAGTGTCTAGGAAGTGTCACCATGTTGAGCACGCGCTCGACCTCGCCGCCAAAGTCTAGGAAGTGTCTTGGAAGTGTCTAGGAAGTGTCACCATGTTGAGCACGCGCTCGACCTCGCCGCCAAAGTCCGCGTGTCCGGGCGTGTCGACGATGTTGACCTTGGTGCCTCCGTACTCGATGGCCGCGTTCTTGGCCAGGATCGTGATGCCCCGCTCCCGCTCCTGGTCGTTCGAGTCCATCAGCCGGTCGTCCTTGTCGATCGAGCCGGAGATGGCCTGCGCGGACTGCAGCATCGCGTCGACGAGGGACGTCTTACCGTGGTCGACGTGGGCCACGATCGCGATGTTGCGCATGTCGGAGCGCACCCCGCTCCCCGCCGGAGCCGCAGCGACCGCCGCCTCGGACGCGGAGATCTGGGCGAGGCCGCGCGAGAGGCGGCCGGCAGCGAGAGGGCGAGCGGCGGCGACGGCGGCGCGCGCCGCGGGCGCGCGGGCCGCTGCGGCGTGGCTTCCGAGGGCCACACTCTGGCAGAGGCTCAGCAGCATCAGCATTCACGCCAGTCCGAAGGAAGATCGAGGGTACCGGGGGGCAAGCTGGAAGCCGGCCTGGCGTGCGAAGCCTAGCGCAGCTCGTCGACGAGCCTTCCTCGAAACCACTGCGAATTTCGAGAAAAACATTTCTCGATGTTTCAGCAAACGAGACAGTGTGTGTGTGTGTGTGTGTGCTCCGCCGTTCATGGAGGCAACCGATGCGAGTCGACTGGTGTGTGTCGTCGTGGTTTCGTATCAAGAATTCATTTCGCATCGTCGGTCGGAGGGACTCGCGGCGGAATGATCGAGTCCTCGCGCCCCGGCGCGCAGAGCCGCGGCGGCGCGCTATGCCACGGCCCGATCCCAATACTTTTGGCTGTGGCTGCATCCGTTGGCCTCGCTGTCGCCACCTTCACAAAGCTGCAGGAAATGGCAGTCGGCTCAGCAATCGTGCAGGAGATGGCGGCCAAGCTGTGATGGGAGCTTGCCGATGGCGCGTCAGACGTGCGGCACCTCGTCCGGCGCAGCGATGTTGAGCGCAATCGGGCCAAGCATGGAGTAGCCCGCGGCCTCAAAAAATACCGCCCGCGAGACGTGCGAGCGGAGCTCGCTGTGGATTGCGGGAAGGCCCGACAACAGGCCGGCCTCCCTGGCCAAGCCAATCAGCTCGTCGCGAAGCTCGTCGGTGGGTCCGTGGCTCGTGCGCCGTTCATCACCCTCAAACGGGATGACCTTGTCCACGACAAATGCCCTGACACGGTCGCGCAGCTCTGATTGCGTCGGGGATAGCTCGAAGCAGATCCGCCTCCGCTGCTGGACGAGCGCTCGCGAGGGTCTAAAAGCACGTGGCGCGGCTCTGCGGAGCATCTTGGGTCAACTTGGGGCGCTGTGGGGCGCAGAGTTGCGCTTGAGAGGTGCCACCCAAACTCGGCCGTTCGCACGCGTCCCCAAATCGCTCTCAAAAAGAAACGAAACCCGCGCGCGTGCCCGGCGTTTTTCTCGTATTGAAGCCCCGCCCCGCCAAGCGGCATGAGCGACGCGGCCCAGCCCTCCGCCATCGAGTCCCTGCGCGAGATCTTCCCCGCCGCGAGCACGGTGCGCGAGCGCCAACGGCGTCGGCTGCGCAGCCTGCCCGCTCGCTCAGCTCGCTTTTGGTTGCCCTTTTGCCCTAGGCGGCGCTGCAAGCTGTGCTGGACCTGACTGGCAACGACCAGACCGCGGCGACGAACTTTCTGCTCTCCAACGACCTCGCCGAGATCGAGGCCTCCGCAAACCCCGCCGCCGCGGGCGCCGGCGCCGGCGCGATGGCCGCAGCGGCGGCGGCAGCTGCAGCAGCTGCGGCCGCGGAAGACGACGACGACGAGGAGGGGGAGGGCGAGGGGGAGGGCGAGGGCGAGGGCGAGGGCGAGGGCGAGGGCGAGGGCGAGGGAGATGGCGACGAGGAGGAGGAGGAGGAGGAGGCAGCGGTGGCGGCGGAGGCCCAGGCGGCTCCTGCCGCCTCGTCCGGCCCCGCGCCGAAGCACGCGCCGCACGGCTGTTTCTCCGGCGGGCGGATGGCGTGCAGGAGGCCTTGTCGGAAGCTCCGTGTAGGCGCGCTCGCACGACGGTGTCGCCGACGCCCGAGGCGGACTTGCGCGGCAAGGAGACGAGAGGTGTGAACAGCGTCTCTTCACACCCACTGTTGTGAACAGGCGGACTTGCGCGGCAAGGAGACCAGCTTCGTCCGCTTCGACGGCGAACTGATGCGCAAGACGTGAGTCCGACAGACACTTCCCAGACACTTCCCAGACGGTACCCAGACACGCCCCGACATTGGTGCGCTTGACCGTGCCCTGCACCTTCCTCCGCCTCTCCCACCCGCCTCTCCCACCCGCCTCTCCCACATATCTCCGCATCTCTCCGCATCTCTCCGCATCTCTCCCCATCTCTCCCCACAGGTACCTCGACCTGCTCAACCTCGCGCCCTCCCGCCTCCGCCACCAGCGCTTGACGCTCTGGCGCGAGACACAGCAGAGACACAGCAGAGACACAGCAGAGACACAGCAGAGACACAGCAGAGACACAGCAGAGACACAGCAGAGACACAGCAGAGACACAGCAGAGACACAGCAGAGACACAGCAGAGACACAGCAGAGACACAGCAGAGACACAGCAGAGACACAGCAGAGACACAGCAGAGACACAGCAGAGACACAGCAGAGACACAGCAGAGACACAGCAGAGACACAGCAGAGACACAGCAGAGACACAGCAGAGACACAGCAGAGACACAGCAGAGACACAGCAGAGACACAGCAGAGACACAGCAGAGACACAGCAGAGACACAGCAGAGACACAGCAGAGACACAGCAGAGACACAGCAGAGACACAGCAGAGACACAGCAGAGACACAGCAGAGACACAGCAGAGACACAGCCCCAGCCCCAGCCCTCCCTCGCCCGCAGGAGCGGTGACGTGAGAGACGAGGCGGCGGCGCAAGCCGCCATCGACGCCGCGCGGGGCTGGTGGGTGCAGCGCTGCCCTGTGGCGGAGGCGAGGTCTAGCCGAGATACAGCCGAGGTCCAGCCGAGATACAGCCGAGGTCCAGCCGAGATACAGCCGAGGTCCAGCCGAGGTCCAGCCGAGGTCCAGCCGAGATACAGCCGAGGTCTAGCCGAGATACAGCCGAGGTCCAGCCGAGATACAGCCGAGGTCCAGCCGAGGTCTGGCCGAGGTCTCGCCGAGGTCTGGCCGAGGTCTAGCCGAGGAGGGGGAGGGGCGAGGGATAGCCGAGATGCAGCCAATTGCCTAATGCATTCACGAATGCTATCAAGTAGTTAATGATTCACGAGTTCCCAGGCGGACCACGTCTGGCGCGTGCTCGTCAACTCGCACCTCAAGTCAAAGGCGCTCGGCACTGAAGCAACGCATAGTCATCAGTGGTGAAGCCACCGACAAGCTAATGAGGGTCCGGGACACTTCCTGGACACTTCCTAGACACCTCCTAGACAAGCTAATGAGGGTCCGCTCGCGCCTCACGTCAAAAGGCGCTCGGCACAGTCGTCCGCCTCTCGGCTAATTGTTAATTAAAGGGCTCATTATCAATTCCTAATTAGGCGCTCGGCACAGTCGTCCGCCTCTCGGCCGCCTCCTTCGCCCAGGACGCGGGCGGCGAGGCCGAGGCGCGCCTTCCGCCTCTCTCGAGGAGTCAGCACGGCTGGCCCCATGCTCACCGCCTCACCGCCCAAGGACCGCCGACCAATAGGTGCGCGTCCTCGTCCGCCACCCTGTCCGAGACATGTCCGGGACATGCCCGAGACATGTCCGAGACATGTCCGAGACATGCCCGAGACATGTCCGGGACATGTCCGAGACATGTCCGAGACATGCCCGAGACATGTCCGGGACATGTCCGAGACATGTCCGGGACATGTCCGAGACATGTCCGAGACATGCCCGAGACATGTCCGAGACATGTCCGAGACATGCCCGAGACATGCCCGAGACATGTCCGAGACATGTCCGAGACATGTCCGAGACATGTCCGAGACATGTCCCTCGCAGGTGCGCGTGCTTGTCCGAGACCCGTCCGACATTCGGGACTTGAAGCGGCTCGGAGGTTCCTCTTCCCCGTCGCTCGCTCGTAATTAACGACTGGGTCTTGATTATTCATTCATTCATTGTTGATTAGGATCGCTCCTCTCCGTCGCTCGCTCTTCCCGAGGTGAGATGCCGCCGAGAGACAGCCGAGAGACAGCCGAGCGACAGCCGAGAGACAGCCGAGAGACAGCCGGGAGACAGCCGGGAGACAGCCGGGAGACAGCCGGGAGACAGCCGGGAGACAGCCGAGAGACAGCCGAGAGACAGCCGAGAGACAGCCGGGAGACAGCCGAGAGACAGCCGAGAGACAGCCGAGAGACAGCCGGGAGACAGCCGAGAGACAGCCGAGAGACAGCCGAGAGACAGCCGGGAGACAGCCGGGGGACAGCCGGGAGACGGCCGAGAGCACCTCGCTTGCGCCCCTCGCCCTTTCGACTCCAACCGTGCCCTGGCCCTTCACCAGACACTCCTAGACACTTCCCAGACATTTCCTCCAACTGTGCCCTGGCCCGTCACTAGGAGCCGACAGCATCTTCTTCTCGTCCGCGCCTCTCGCTACGGCGGTGTCGCGCCGTTCGCTCGCCCAGGCGCACCCCGGCCACGCCCCGGCCGCACTTCGGCCGCCCCTCGGCTGCACTTCGGCCTGCATCTCGGCCGCACCTCGGCTGCACCTCGGCTGCACTTCGGCTGCACCTCGGCCGCACCTCGGCCGCACCTCGGCCGCACCTCGGCTGCACCTCGGCCGCACCTCGGCTGCACCTCGGCCGCACCTCGGCTGCACTTCGGCTGCACTTCGGCTGCACTTCGTGAGGACGAGGAGTATGAATCACCAGCCCGTCGGTAATCTCGACTTCCCCCCGCCCGCGCAGGTCGAGGAAGAGGCTGAGTTCAAGCTGCAGAGAGAGCGAAGCGCCGCAGGCAGCAGCGGCGCCGACGGCGGCGGCGGCGGCGGCTTGTTTGGCCGGCGAGGGGGAGGGAGAGGGGGGAGGGGGGGGGAGAGCTGTGTTCCTTCACGCTTGCCGGTGTGAATAGGTTCGAGCAGAGCAGCACGCGGCTGGTGCTCTTCCGAGCGGACAAGTCGAGTCCTGCGCGGTGGGTCGAGGTGTGAACGGGCAGGGTTGGGAGGGGAGGAGGGGCGAGCCGAGGCGCGTATCTCCAGAGTGGAGGAGCTGGGGCGGAGGGAGTGGAGGATGAGGGAGGGTGGGGGTGGTGGCGGGGAGAGAGCGAGCGAGCGGAGAGAGAGAGAGAGGAGTGGGAGCGCAGAGCGGAGGTTGAATCATGAATGAACCAAGTGCCGGGCCACAGCGCACGCTCACTCACATACGGCTCTATCATGTTACGTGTACACAGCGGCTACCGAGCCTCTGAGACTGAGTGTGAGTCTGACGTCACTCGAGACTCGAAAATGTTTCCTCGCCTCTCGACTCATTTCGTTGCGAGCGGCTCTGTTCAGTGTTGTTTGTGCACACACGAGATACTGCAAAAAGTGCATCGTCCCGTGTCTCCTCGTCAATGGTTGGGTAGTAGGGCTAGAGGGTCGCTCTACACTTAGCCTCTGCAGCGAGCGAGCGCTCAACTTAGCCCCCGCACCGAGCCGGGCTCAGACTTAGACGCTGTATGGTCGGGGGCCATGAACTTAGACGACATAAGGCCACTCCGGGCAAAACCCGGGTATACCTGAAAAGCCTCCAGGTTTACCCGAAATACCTGGACGCGTCCGACCAACGTATGCCGCGCACGACGCCATATCGCCTTCTCCCAGGGCCAGTGCGCTACTCACGGCGCGCAACGCCTGCTCAAGTACGCGCACCGTACCATGTGCTGCCGCTATGCGTGCCTTAAGGCGGCTGCGGCGAAGCGGCGGGCGCGGCATGCCGATGGCAGTGCGGACGATGCGGTTGCGATGTGTTCTGCTTCAAGATCGTGGCGGTGCTTGGCATGCACTTCTGCGATCCCAATCAGCTCATCGCAACGAAGCAGCGCAACAAGCTGGCTGCTGCCAACAAGGCCCTATGCTACCTCACGCGCGGATCGTTCAAAGAGGACCAGCACACACAGGCTTCACGCCTTCACCGTCACACGTTTGATTAAGCTTGAGGAGCTTCGTGTCATGTGATGCTCGCTGCGATGGCGAAGAACTCGTCTCGTCACACGCCAAGGGCTTAGGCTCTGTCGAGACGTGAGGCGTATGCGCCCAGGAGGGGAGGGCGCATGCGTAACGACGCTGCTAGAGATGCCTTTCGGGGCCCAGAGATAAAACTTCTGTGATGCCATGCGTGACCTAGT